TAGTATGGTCAATTAATATAATTTCATAATATCTGTAGGGCAAATTCTATGGCCTGGTTTTTTAAGTGTGATTTGATTGTTTTTAACTTTCTATATTCATTTAAGGATAAGCTTGTTAAATATGATTTTTAAAAATCCTGCTAGGATCCTGTTTGAAATTACATGACAGTAATAGATCAGTTATGGAGAACTGTATTAAGAACCAGGCAAGGTCTGAGATAGTTTGTAACTTTCAGTGATGCTAATGGAAGACACAAGACTCCTGGTCAGAGAAAAAAGACTTTACCTCTCGTGGCAAAGGCAGTCACCAGGGCATCAGCATTCTCATATGCAGATTCCAAACCAAATCCTACAAAGGAAGAAGAAGAAGAAGAAGAAGAAGAAGAAGAAGAAGAAGAAGAAGAAGAAGAAGAAGAAGAAGAAGAAGAAGGAAGAAGAAGAAGAAGAAGAAGAAGAAGAAGAAGAAGAAGAAGAAGAAGAAGAAGAAGAAGAGGAAGAAGAAGAGGAAGAAGAAGAAGAAGAAGAAGAAGAAGAAGAAGAAGAAGAAGAAGAAGAAGAAGAAGAAGAAGAAGAAGAAGAAGAGAAGAAGAAGAAGAAGAAGAAGAAGAAGGAAGAAGAAGAAGAAGAAGGAAGAAGAAGAAGAAAAAGAGAAGAAGGAAGAAGAAGAAGAAGAGAAGAAGAAGAAGAAGAAGAAGAAGAAGAAGAAGAAGAAGAAGAAGAAGAAGAAGAAGAAGAAGAAGAAGAAGAAGAAGAGAAGAAGAAAGAAGAAGAAGAAGAAGAAGAAGAAAGAAGAAGAAAAAGAAGAAGAAGAAGAAGAAGAAGAAGAAGAAGAAGAAGAAGAAGAAGAAGAAGAAGAAGAAGAAGAAGAAGAAGAAAGAAGAAGGAAGAAGAAGAAGAAAGAAGAAGAAAGAAGAAGAAGAAGAAGAAGAAGAAGAAGAAGAAGAAGAAGAAGAAAGAAGAAAGAAGAAGAAGAAGAAGAGAAGAAGAAGAAGAAGAAGAAGAAGAAGAAGAAGAAGAAGAAGAAGAAGAAGAAAGAAGAAGAAGAAGAAGAAGAAGAAGAAGAAGAAGAAGAGAAGAAGAAGAAGAAGAAGAAGAAAGAAGAAGAAGAAGAAGAAGAAGAAGAAGAAAGAAGAAAGAAGAAAGAAGAAAGAAGAAAGAAGAAGAAGAAGAAGAAGAAGAAGAAGAAGAAGAAGAAGAAGAAAAGAAAGAAGAAAGAAAGAAAGAAAGAAAGAAAAGCTTGTGAAGGCTTGTGAAACAATAGGAATGCTTTGAAAATGTGACTATTTTATACATGATTGTAAGTACATATGCTGCTTGTTCCAGAGAGAAACACCATTGTGAAGGTTTTTCATCATAAAATACCTTTAAAAATATACCCAGAGCAATGGTAGTGAGTACTTCTACTTGAAAATGTACAGAAATGCAAAAGGTAAGTGGAGAGTTATCTCCCCATGTAATATCTAAGTCTTCCTGCCTGTGAATATGGTAATGGTAACTTTATGTTTTTTTGTGTGTTTTGATAGTTTTGTAATTTATACATGAGCCATACTGCTTTGTATATTTGTTGCTTTTGCAAATGATAGTTTTTGAAATTACATTTTCTACATCATTGGGGTATAGAAATGTAAATGAGTATTGTATTTTTTCTCATTTGTAGATTTGGGGGTTTGTGTCAGTAAACACTTCTGTCAGCTGTATGTGATTCAGTTAATTTCTTTCATTCTGGAAGACTCCTATGCTGGCTTAGCTCTCCAATTACTAAGTTAAATAGAAGTAGTAGTAATAACAATAAACATTCTTCTTTGGGATCCAGAGAAAGTATTTCTTATATTTCAATGTGGAGTGATAAACAGGTTTCTAGGTTTTTGATGAAGACACCCATGTCAGATCAAAGATATTCCTTTCTTGTCTTAGTTGCTAAGATTCTTTATCAGGAGTGAATATGAATTTTCTTGCATGCTTTGTCTCTGTTGAGAAAATCGTACATACCATGTTTTCACTTTATTCTGTCAATGTGTTTTGTTCTGTAGTTTGAATTCTTAGGTCCTTCTAAAATTCAGCTGTAAATTATTCTCCAGTACCGGAGTATGAGAAGGTGATTATATGATGAGAGATCTTCCTTCACAGCTGGAATGAGTGCTTTATAAAAGGGAACTCCTAGGGTTTTGTTTCCTTTTTACCTTCTGACATGTGAAGTCACAGTGATCAGATGCAATCTGAATGAAAAGTCTTCTCTAGACACCAAGACTGCCAGGCCCTTGATCTTGGATTTCCAAACAGCTGGAAAGAATGAAATTTCTATTGTTTATTATAGTAGCTGGACTAGACTAAGATAGACTAAATCTAACTAGGACATTATGTTGGCTAATTCCTTGTTTAGGCTTTTGCATTATATCCACGAGTGAGACTGACTTAAGAGATTTCATTGACACTATTACTGTGTGGTTTTGATATTAAAGTTAGGCTTGCCTCATATAATTTGGACCAATTTCAGTAAAGCTTTTCCATGCATCACACAATTAAAATTGCTCTTATCAAAGATGCCAATAGTGTCCATGTTGCTAAATTCTATGGTCAATTCTAACACTCATCTCACTTAATGGTAGCACATGATTTGATTACCCTTACCTCCTTGAAAGATTTTCTTTACTTGATTTTAGAAATACACATGGCTTTCCTCATACAACTCACATTAGTCCTTTTCGGATTCTTTAATCCCCTGACTTCCTCATTTTGGAGTACCCAAAGACACTCTGCTTATACATCTTCTCTTTTTATTCAAACTAATGGATGATGATCAAGGGTAGTGATTTTAGAACGGTTCAAGACTTGAATGCTATCAATTTATATCTATCTCCTCTGGACTTAATTCCTATATCCAAACACACCACTCAACATACTACTTGGAAGTCTAGTGGACATCTCAAAATTAACCACCCAAAGCTATGCTTTTAATACTCTCCTTTAAATCGTGTCCTCTTTACAAATGGTAAGTCCATCTCTTTAAATACTGCCTTCCTCTACTGTAATCAACCTTCCACAAAGATAGATGTCTGAAAGCCTCACGCCATTTCTCAACTTGTCATCCGCATGGAAATTATCTATTTAGAAAGGAAAAATCCTTGCTCTTTTTCACTTCACTTCTACCTAGATTTCCGTTATTCTTCTTCCATCTCGTTACTCAAGCTTCCCATTTTATGGTTCATTTTATTGTATCTTTCATTTCTAAAAATTCTACTTAGTTCTTTAAAACATCTGTTCAGTTTTTGCTAGTTTCTTTCTTATAACTTTATATCAAGCATTTCAATTTATGTATCTGAAAAATTATTAAAGTCTTTGAAGATGTGTGTACGTTAGTTTCTACTCATCTATATACTAATGCTGGATTATTTGTAGTGTTTTCTGTGGTTTTAGATTGTGAAGTTGTATTTGCTGCCACTCTGTGGGTTTTCCTTTGAAGCCTGGGTTTTGGCTATCATTCTCTATGGATGATTTTTGTTTGTTCTTGTTGGGCATGAAGCACTATTGATATGAATCCTCTTAAAAATACAATTATCAGAAACACTATGCAAATAGTATAGATTAACTTACTGTATTCATGTGAATATACCCAGTGGCTATTAATTTGCAAGTCTTTTAAAAAAACCCAATAGCTAAGGCTGAGAATAGTGATTTTCTGTTCTTCAAATTTTTGGTTTACTGTCTTATAAAAAGTGTAGTCTTGTAGGGATCCTTGCTTTACATGAGACAGATCCTTATCTTAGTTACTGACATTAATCAATCTACCATATTCTAGGTGCTTCCACAGCTATTTCTTTAAAGATATAAAAGTTTAGCTTCTGTACCAAATTCACTTGAAAGACCTATTAAGACAGGAATTGGTGAACCTTACACTTTTTCTGATTTAGTAGTCTTGGGTGAGACCCAGGAATTTGTATTTCTAACAAGTTCTTAGGTGATGCTGACGTGATTGTCATTGAGTTCACATTTTGCAAATAACGTCTTCAAAGTAGGTTTGGAAAATTTACTCTATAAAGGGCCAGTTGGTAAATATTCTTTGTGGTAGCCACTTTGCTCTGCTCTTTGTAGAATGAAAGCAGCCACAGAGATTATAACCAAATGGCATGACTGTGCTCCAGTGAAACAATACAAATAGCCACCGGCTGTATTTGGTCCAGGCACAGTTTGCTGACCTCTTTCCAGACTGCTGCTCCCACTGTTCCTGGCCACCAGAGGTTTCTCACTGTCACATCCAATCATTTAACATGGATTAAATATATTTTATTGCACATCTTTAGATATGAAATAGCAGAGAAATATTCCACGATTTGTATTCCACAGTATTATCAGAAACAAGTCCTGCATTTAAATTCTAACTTGTTGAAAGAATTTATGGAATTTCCTAGCATATCTGATCTTTCCTACAAGCCCACAAAACATTATGATTTATTTCTGTTCTCCCTAGGGACTAGGGTCTTCTCCCACCCCCTCCCCATCTGAACCTGCCTTGCTGTCTTATGCCGCTTCCCACATTTCCCTCCTTCCTTCCCAGTAGAAGTCTGGTGAAGCTCTGCTTCTCCGGCCTGCACTGAAATCTCAGTCTCCATATGCTGCCCAGTATCATACACATCATTCCATGGCCACGCCCCATTCACTGCTGTTTCCCAGAGCGTCTCCTCGGTAGGCTATGAGCCAGCCAAGGCCAGGAATGAGTTTCATTTATCTTCAACTCCACAGTGCCTGACACATTTGCTATTTGATACATGTTTTATTTATTTATTTGCTTTTGAAAAACTGAGTTAGTGGCTAAGCAAATGAGGGACTATTTAAGAGGATAGAATTTTAAACAATTCACTTGTTGAAACTCTTGAGATTTTAATCTTTTCTCAGTAATCATTGTACCAATTAATACCTCCTAAATCTAATCTTGTTTATTAATCTGTTAGTCAAACCTGTATAATAAATTTGTAGTAAAACACACAAGGACACAGACTACTGAATGCGTCATACTCAGTAATGGAGAGGCCATTTATTGTTTCTAAAATAAAACAAAAGATACAGTGTTTTGTTTCTCTTTTATTGCAACCCATTGCAAGGTCAAAAGATTCACAGAAATATAGAAACTACAAACTGGGTGATTTTCTTTATCCACTAAGACATTAAAGACAAAGAACGAGTTTTCCACTACAGCAATGTATTTCATAGGTTTTATTCTGAAAATACTGTTGACATTTTGGAGAGGATAAAAAGCCCTGCTTTAAACATGTTCACATGTATTTATGACATTCTAAGCAAACAGAAAACAAAACCAAAAAATTATATTGCCTAGAAAATTATTTCAAGCCTCATTTTAAAGCATCTAATGAGAACACATTCAACAACCATCACAGAATCACTCAGGGTGATGCTTTTCCTGGCTGTTTTTTGAGATTAATGCTTTGAGGCTAGATACGATATTTCTGCAGATTTCTACAAATGTACCAAAGCAGTTTTCCAGGTTATGTTGCATCAGGCTTTCTGAATTAGCTGACATTTTAGAGAATAAGTGCAGTCCCCACCCCACCCCACCCCACCCCAAGCTAAAGCATGTTTTAGTGCTACTTTAAAACAATGAGACATTTTAAAAATCAATTATATGCTGTGAAACCATTTGACAACCCAACTGTAATGTTCCAAAGATTATTACAACTTTGAACTGAAGTTATACCATCTATGCCATAGATTGTTTTCCCTTTTGTCCCTTTTAAAATTATTTAAAATATAGTGTGACATATATAAAATTAAACATTTTTTATTCACTGAAGCTACTATTACTATACATACGGTCTTATAAATTAGTTTTGGGTTAAAATTCAATTTAAATGTTGTGAAATAAGATTTTTCAGTGGTGGAGAAATGGGTATGAAAATGACATAGTTCACTGTGTAAGAAGAAATATAGTTTATTAATGATAAAGTCTTTTGTTACACAAATTTTACTCCCTTCAAATTAAATTAGTAATCTATTTAGCCGTGGGAAAATATTCTTAGTGTTTACTGACTACATTTTCTGAAGTGATTGGAACTAAAACAAAAATTGCCACATCAGAAATATGTTGACATAATCAAAAGAAACAGCTGTTTACCAAAAAGAAGTCAGTACAAATACATGAATGACACTTATATGTAAGGCTGTCTTTTGTTTCTTACATTTTAACAATATTCAGATATATAAGAAATGAACTCAAACCTCAGTTATTTCTGTTAAAGACAAAATAACATGTCCATATCAGGAAGGAATAAATAACAAATTCACAAATTAGTGCTTTATTTTTATTTCTATTATGAAAGATAATCACTCTTTAGCTTAAAAAGGCTCCCTGTAGTCTTGATTATAAATCCAGACACAGGAAAGTTTATTGGAGCCTGAGTCCCTACAATGAATTAATTGTAAAGATGTGTGAAATCAAATGTATATTCATTTACTGATAGATACTGTCTTAACTGAAAGCTGGCAATCTTCAACTAAAAAATACTTCTGGCAAGTGTAAACAGAATCTTAATGAACAGATTTTCTAATTTTTCTTTTTAACTCATACAGTAGCTAGCAATAGATCTTTGCAGTAGCATAGAAACTATTAAAAAAAAAGTTAACATGCACATATCAAAAAACCTGTTCTAAAACCTAAAGCAAAGCAAAAGAAAAAATTTTAATAGAAACATTGTTTTCTTATATTTCACTCATGAGCAGTCTATTAAATATCAGAAACATACTTTCATAATTATCAAAATTAACAAAATAATGAAATGATCTGTAGATCTATTAAAATACTACACACCATTAATCACATTGGTGGCTTCATTGTGGATAATGCTCAGATTAGCTCCAAATATCATTAAGATATATTCCAATCACTCGCTATCCACAAAATAAAAGCTAACACAATGTTAATGTAAAACTAACTAAAATATTTAGTACTCAACAGAATGTATGTGTAGAGTAATTAACTTCTGTGAGCTGGCCAAGGGAGTTCAGATTGTTTCATCAATATAAAAAATTTACAAAAGGCTTTATTCTTTCTAGTCCCTAAATCACCCACCAGATAGACAGCTGCCCATCATGGACACACTGAGTTAGGTGGGGCCAGAGCAGATGATGTGTTCCCTCAGTAGCCTGGAGGAAGTCTCCACTGTCAGGAAGTGGTTTACAAAGAAACCACCCTAATGTGTTTGTGTACCTGCAGGGTAGGTACACAAGAGTATAAATATACGTGCACATGTGCTTGGAATTTTGAAGATCACTAATTCACAGGCTTCCAATTAATAAACCATCCCTTCTAGCCTGACTTGTAGAAGTGCACAATCCCCATTCATCAAAAAAGAAATACTTCTTTTTTGGGGGGGCATTTAAAAAATGGCAGAAATCAGATGCTCAAAGTAATAATCCAATTCCTTGACTTTCTATTAAAAATACTGTTTAAAGAACTAAGCCTTTACACTTAAAAACTAAGATTTGTGGCTTCTGTAATCTTCAATTTTTAAGAAAAAAAGCCAGCTCACCTGGGAACAAATAACAAGTGCACTTATGCTATGCAGTAGGCAAACAAGACACAAATATACACACTGGTACAGACACAGACAGGTGATAGTTAAAACCTTTCCAAGAGATCACCCATTTCAAATCTACACTTCTCTGCCCCTGCTGAACGACCAAAGTGAACCCATGTATGGGCATGCACATTAGGAGGAGGCAGCCGACATGTTGGGGGTCCAGCCCATCTGATAAGCTCTCTCCAAGGTCCTCTTGCAGTCCTGCAGGACAGTGCTGAAGGTAATGTGGGGGTACTGCTGCACCAGCTGTTCAACTGTGACTTCATTCACCTGCAACCAGAGAAAAAACCACCATCACGCACAGGCAACCACCAGTACCCTGCAGTGTGCTGCACCTGCAGCCATGACAGCTGCAGCCCAATGTGTTTCTGCTTGGCAACGTGAGGTAGTGTCTTGTAAGAAGATTCGTTTCCCTTTTGTCTGATAACTCTGATTTCTCAGTATCACATTTGTTTATATGGACTTTTTAAAAGGACATGATGTCAAGAAATCAAATGTGTTTTTTAGAAACATAAATGACTGTGATTTGTCAAGGTATTAACCATGTCCACTGAACTTCTAGTGCTTGAGATGAGGAAACAGTAAGGATACAGCCTAATATGGATTTTAATCCTTCATCCACATGATTGTCTTTTTAGCAGAAATACTGTACAGTAGGGGAAAGGATACACAGGATTCTAGATAGAAGTGCTAGGAAAAATGTTTATTTTTCTTCCCTTTAAATGTTAAGGTATTGCAAACTTCAAGTCCCTTAGTGAACAGGTCTGAAATGTGAGGAATCAATAATTAAAACATACATGGCTGGCAGGTCAGGGATGGCCCCAATAGACCTTAACCATCAAAGACACCACCTTGATTCTTGATTAGACAAGGCAATCAGACAGGCCTAATTAAAACTAACACCTTTACAATTGCTGAGCTGTGAAGGGATTAATTTGTCAATTATTTTTAAGCTGATTGCAGTTCATATCACAGAAGTAGACAGCTTCCTTCATCCTTTAGATAAATAAATGATTAACCTAAGAACCACAACTTTTAGGTAGGTTTATTTAAAATCTTTATTGAACACGGGCATTTTTGAATACATCAATATTTCATTTATACTGAGTAAGCTATACTGAGAAAGTCTTAAGGAAGATACTTGGAACGCATATTTTCAAGCGTCCCTTCTGAGGTTCATTATTGAAAAAAACTGAGACTACCAGTCTAAAGCAACATGAAGCCCTGGCTGTTTGCTCTGAAAGCCTGCTCAACAGCATGATGATCATGAACTTAGCTGTCTACATGTTTCTGAAATGACATGGGGCCTTCTAGGTGAGTTGGAAAAATATGGCCCAAATTAATTTTTTTTAGTATTGACAACATTATCCTGATGATACTTAATCTCTGTAGGACATTTCGCTATTTAAAACTTGCTTATTTGATCGCCTGGCCATAGGTCTGCAGAGGAGGAGCTGGGCAGATCTGGGGTGCCCTCACTGGCCTCTCTGCGTGTCTGGAGGACTCTGGATTTCTGCGCCCAGACTGCTGGAGTTCCCTCAGGCTTCCAGGTGCAGTGAAGGGGAGAGGTGGGTTTGAGGCTTCCATATCAGCCTCCCCATTCCCGGCTTCATTTGGAGACCTGCTGAGCTCCCCATAGGTGGGCTGGCCCACACTACCAGCCTAGCCCAGCCTGTTTAGCTGCCGCGCCTGGCCATAGGTCTGCAGAGGAGGAGCTGGGCAGATCTGGGGTGCCCTCACTGGCCTCTCTGCGTGTCTGGAGGACTCTGGATTTCTGCGCCCAGACTGCTGGAGTTCCCTCAGGCTTCCAGGTGCAGTGAAGGAGAGAAGTGGGTTTGAGGCTTCCACATCAGCCTCCCCATTCCTGGCTTCATTTGGAGACCTGCTGAGCTCCCGATAGGTGGGCTAGCCCACACTACCAGCCTAGCCCAGCCTGTTTAGCTGCCGCGCCTGGCCATAGGTCTGCAGAGGAGGAGCTGGGCAGATCTGGGGTGCCCTCACTGGCCTCTCTGCGTGTCTGAAGGACTCTGGATTTCTGCGCCCAGACTGCTGGAGTTCCCTCAGGCTTCCAGGTGCAGTGAAGGGGAGAGGTGGGTTTGAGGCTTCCACATCAGCCTCCCCATTCCCGGCTTCATTTGGAGACCTGCTGAGCTCCCGATAGGTGGGCTGGACCACACTACCAGCCTAGCTCAGCCTGTTTAGCTGCCGCGCCTGGCCATAGGTCTGCAGAGGAGGAGCTGGGCAGATCTGGGGTGCCCTCACTGGCCTCTCTGCGTGTCTGGAGGACTGTGGATATCTCTGCAACCAGGGAGGGTCCACAGGTTCCTGAAGCACTGCGGCCTGTGGTGAGTACCCTAACCCGGCTGCGATTGAAGAACTGTGGAGCTTCCAAGGGGCAGGTGGGCGCACAGTGTCCCTGAGGCCCAGCTTGTCTGGAACTGCGGAGTTCTGAGCTGGCAGAGGAGGGCCACTGGTTCTGTAGGCCTAATGGCTTGGAGTAGCGCAGCGCCAGAGTCCCAGTAGCTCCAAACATAGAAGGGGATTTTCAACAGATCCTGAGGAAGCTTTCAAATAACACTTGAAACACAGAAATATAGGAAAATGACAAAACGAAAGACCAAATTACAACCTCAAACCTCCAGCCCATCTCAAGAAACCCTAGGAGCGATGTATATAGAAGAAAATACATCCCATCCACCTCATATATCGGACACAATAGCCACTGAAATTGACAAGCAACTCCAGGAAGCTTTAAAGAAATTCAAACTCGAAATAATCTCCCAGATAAAAGAAGAAATGATAAAAGAAATGAAAGAGATTCTAAATATATCTAAAGAAAACACAGATAAAAAATTGGAGGAACTAAACAAAAAGATAGAATCCCTAGACGAGCAATATAAGAAACAAACAGAATACATAATGCAGATGCACAGAGATATACAGGAAATAAAAAACTCCACTGAAAGTTGTAAAAACCGCCTTAATGAAAGTGAAGATAGAATTTCAGACCTTGAAGACAGGATTGCAGCTAGTGAACAGGAAAGGAAAGATCTTTTGAAAATAACAAGGAACCAGGAAACAACAATTCAACAACTGCAAGACGATGCAAAGAAGAATAACATAAGAATGATAGGGATTAATGAAAGAGAGGGAGACAACATGAAGGATGTCAGGAGGATATTTAGAGAAGTAATAGCTGAAAATTTCCCAAGCATGAGATCAGAAACTGACATCAGGATCAGTGAAGCATATAGAACTCCAAACAGTCATAACCAAAATAAAACTACACCAGACATATAATAGTCACCATCCCAGAAATCCAACACAAGAATAGATTATTAAAAGCTGTCAGAGAGAAAAGACAAATCACTTATAAAGGAAAACCTATCAGAATCACAGCAGACTTCTCAGCACAAACGATAAAGTCAAGAAGAGCATGGAGTGAAGTATTCCAGATCCTAAAGCAAAATGATTTCCAACCAAGACTGATATATCCTGCAAAACTATCATTCAAAATAGATGGTGCAATACGATACTTCCATGACAAAGAACAGCTGAAGAACTTCATGAACACCAAACCAACCCTGCAAAAAATATTGAAAGACAGTTTAGATACACAAAGGAAAAAACCACTAAGCAAAGCAAATAATTAAACAGAACCGAAAGATAAAGATGCAACAGCAGAGAGATAACATTCCTACAATTAACCAGCATTTAACAGTAATAACCATTAATGTAAATGGTCTCAATGCACCAATCAAAAGAAACAGACTAGCAGAATGGATCAAGAAACAAAATCCAACCATATGCTGTTTACAGGAAACCCATCTAACCCAGAAAGATACTCACAGACTGAAAGTCAAAGGATGGAAACAATTCTTCATGCAGCAGGAATCCAAAAAAAGGCAGGAGTAGCCATTCTGTTTGCAGACAACGTGAACTTTAAACCAACAATGACCATAAAGGACAAAGAAGGTCACTACATACTCGTAAGGGGAAAACTCCAAGAGGAAGAGATAACTATCTTAAATATATACGCACCAAACTCCAGAGCACCCAGTTATATAAAACAATTATTAACAGAAATGAAAACTCAAATTATCAGTAACACAATTGTAACAGGAGACCTTAATACACCACTGACACCAAGGGACAGATCAACCAGACAGAAAATGAGCAAAGAAATAACAGAACTGAATCACACCTGTGAACAAATGGGTTTGATAGACATATACAGAATGTTCCACCCAACAACATCAGAATACACATTCTTCTCAGCAGTACATGGATCATTTTCTAAAATAGACCATATATTAGCTCACAGGACATATTTAAGCAAATGCAAAAGAGTTGAAATCATCCCTTGCATATTATCGGATCATAGCGCTCTGAAATTAGAAATTAATGACAAAGGATACTGCAAAAATTCCGCAAACACATGGAAACTAAATAACACACTCTTGAGTAATCAGTGGGTCACAGAAGAAATTAAAGAAGAAATTAAACAATACCTAAAAGAAAATGAAAATGCAGATACAACTTACCGGAATCTGTGGGATGCAATGAAAGCCGTCCTGAGAGGAAAATTTATTGCACTGAGTTCCCACATCAGGAAAACAGAACGAATACAAATAAATAACTTGATGCTACACCTCAAACAGCTAGAAAAAGAAGAGCAAGTCAAGCCCAAAGCCAAAAGAAGAGAGGAAATTATAAAAAATCAGAGCAGAAATCAATGCAATAGAGACTAAGAAAACAATCCAAAGAATCAACGAATCAAAGAGTTGGTTCTTTGAAAGAATAAATAAAATCAATAAGCCCCTAGCCAACCTTATTAAAAAAAGGAAAGAAAAAGCTCAAATTCATGCAATAAGAAATGAAAAAGGAGAAATCACTACAGACCCAATAGAAATACAGAGGATCATCAATACCTATTTCGAAAACCTCTACTCTCAAAAGTTTGATAACACAGAAGAAATAGATAGATTCTTAGAAGCATATGAAGTACCAAAGCTAGATCAAGAGGATATAAAACTGTTGAATAACCCAATCTCTGCTAATGAAATTGAGAATGTAATTGGGTCCTTGCCCACCAAGAAGAGCCCAGGCCCAGATGGATTCACTGCAGAATTCTACAAGAAATATAAAGAAGACCTAATGCCGACACTCCTCAAACTATTCAATGAAATTGAAAGGGAAGCAATCCTTCCTAAGTCATTCCTGGAAGCAAATATTACTCTAGTACCAAAACCTGAGAAAGACCCAACTAT